TGCATATTTTGTCCAGGTGTGCATTACGCAAATTTTGCAGTTGGACGATACGTTTGATACTTGAGGGGACGCGATCGATCATTCATGCCCAGCGCACCCGTATAAGCAGAATAACGAAAGAACCTCGTGATTTTTTATACCCGCATTAGACGGCCACTGCATACAACCGAGACTAATAAGTGATACTACCATCAACAGGAACGACAGAAGTATCATAACACTTCCAATTGATGATCAAACAGTCTGGCACCCAAATCAGTAAAGATTCAGTTACATCACTAAAGAAAAGCACAGCTGTTACCCTCCGCTATATTCGAGTGCCGAACCAGAGCGTTTTTGTCAACTATGCACCGCAAAGCCAAACTCTAAGATTTGTAAGCCAAAAGCAGATTAAGTCACTTTGGAGAACATGAATCACTTGACCGACTTTTTCACCCAGCACCGATGATTTTGTTCCAATCGGTGATTTCTTCAATGTCTCACCGAGCAACAGTTCGATGGAGATATCTATCACGGATATCATGCTCTGATGAATTTGATCTTAAACAGCACTAACAATCAGGTTCAGGTTTTACATGCACCATGCACTTTCGTGCACCAGTCTTGATTGCTATCTTACGATTGCCCGTTTGAATAAAAGGGCAGAAGAGGAGCCGAAGGGAAGAGAGAGAGAGAGAGAGAGAATTCACGTGGACTAAGATTGCAAGAATATTGAGCAAATGCACGAGTGTCATTTTTTGCGACACTCAGTCATGCCACTCAGTGTCTCTAACCATCGGCGACTATGATCTCGGGATCCCTATCCAGACAGCCTAAAGCGGCCGATCTGAACCAGTGTCTCGGTTAGGGTTTTCATACCCTCATGCCAGGTCTTTTTTTTGACTACCCGTGACCACTTTCCACTCATTACCTGCCTCGGTAAACATCACTCACCGTGACATGCGTAAAACATATCCTAATCAGAGTAGTCCAAGGAGGTAGACCACTCGCTTCAGTGGACGACCGTGATTTCCGAAAAACTCTTCGTCTAATCTTGTTTGGTCCATTGCCCCGACAGACATTCAATGCGGCATAGAGAGTAGGGTTCGAACACTGATAGCCTATCGTTATCCTGTTCCCTCAGGGGCCAAGCGAGTGACGAGGAGTAGTACTGTGGTAACAGTTCGAATGAACAAATTCCAAGTGACTCGATGAATGATTCAGCGATGAACGCAGTAGACAAATTGATGTTCGAGGTCCAGTATATTCCTTGCTTGGGGGATTCGAACCCGTCTTAACCTGCTGTGATTGTGTTCGATACGCACATAAAAACGCAAGTTGATGAAGGTCTATCTCTAGACAGATAAACCGTTGCCATCTAGAACAGACATTACAGGTCTAGAAATGAATGCAATCATTGGTACCATGGGTTGGTTTCGTAACACCGTTGTTGAATCACCACAACCATCACCACAGATCATTATTCAGATACCATCTTTGATATTCCTTCACATCACTAATGCAAAGGAATTAAGTCATTGGTGATCGAAAAAAATTGTTTTGCGTGTTATTCCGATATTGAAAAAAAAACATGTGTAGCAAGCGAATTCACTGGCTAGACAACCAGTTAGCACACGATCGATCACTGTGTGAGAAAAAACCTCACATAGTACTTGATTTCGGTCATTCCGTGGGTGAACTGGGTGATAAATCAGGGTCTCGTTGAACGCAGTTGGGAGATTACAGCCACCGGACAAAGACACAGGATTCGTCATGCAATTGGTAAAATCTAGACGAGATGTTTTGAAATCTGAAGAAATTAGAGCGTTCAGTAATGTGTAAAACGAATGAATGAACACATGCGAGCGGAATGACCCGATTGGAAACCGACGAGTCGAAAGCCATGATGAAAGAGAGGCGCGAGGAGGGGGTTGGACCGACAAACGATTGTGATATCGGCTGCAATCGTTTGAATGGAAGAAAAACAAAAAATCCTGACAAAATAAGCCCTTTTTGCTTGTTAATTCATGATGTCCGAGATACTTTTAAACAAAGATTCGGAAGCAAAAAAGGTCTTTTGTTCTCGTGCAATAATGCAATCCATTGACAATTTTGAGAGATTGCAAAAAAAAACACATTGGTGAAGTGACAAAACATCATACAAGGACGGATGGATAAAAAAAGTAAACTAAAACGAACAAGTTTGATAAAAAGAATAAGTAAACAAAACACTTGGGCGTGTCGCACACAATTCCGTGTATCCAAATCACGGGAGAGAGAATCTAGTTGCTCATAAGCAATTTCAGTCACCCAAATGGCGGCATGCTAGACGCACCTGCATCTGAAGATGATGTGTAATATCTAAAGTAGTTCGTGGTAAACGGATATCAATTATTCCAGTCAGCGAAACGATTATGTAAAATTATACACTACCAGGTTGCCTGGCGCTTTGACCGAATTTAGTCACGAATAATTGCAGGAATGGCAATTAACTGAGCAACACTAACTCTCTCTCTCTCTCTCTCTCTGGAATCGAGTATTACACACTAACCTATTGTGAGGTGTTTATTCTTATACGGAAATAACTGTAGTTCAGGGTTCCATTATGATCAGTTGCAGTCCTTTTTGACCAACCAAATGCGCGTTTTGTGATTGGTCAAAAAAGTCACTTGCTTCAGTTTCGGCATCTCGGCAATCACACAATCCGGATCCAAACATCTCTGGAATATATAAGTGAAAGTATTATTGTTCTATCATTATTATTACCTCCACATTGTGAAAAGTTCAGTACCCTCGATAGGATTCGAACCCAGATGAACGCCGCCTATGCTTTTTGTTCGGCGCACGCTCTATCAACTGAACTATGAGACCTCGTAGCTCAGCTGATAGAGTGTGCGCAGTATGACTGATCGGTATTGACACACAACAAATTATACGTAAGTACACCCACCGTATGTGTTATATTCGTGATTTTTCCGCATCATCATCGTACAGCGAACTTCATTGATTGCTACCAAACTCCCAATGCATACAAGATTAGTGGTAATATTCAAGGTGGACAGGGTTTGGACCTATTTTGAAGAAAGGTCAACACATTAAGTTCATAATCGAACTCCGCATACATCACCTGTCGGTTCTTTGCGATATCCTCCAAGAGCTCTAAACAACCAGTTGCAGTCTTTCGGACCCCACCTACTCCATCCAATGGCTCTCTCTGTATGTTTCTTCATGCCTCGATTCCACGTCATCCGCTAACCTCCACGGGGTTTTCTCTAGCCCGGAGTAGTGACAGTGAATAAAGCGCAGTGCGACAGATGACAGCTGGGCATACGCAATGGGTGCCCTGGACAGCGAACCTACTAATTTGAATTAAATTAGTTAGCAAGTTTATTTTTTGATAAACTCCCAAACATACGACAACTTACCTTCAGACTACTAAGCCGTTCGCTTCATCCGACCTAAGCAAACTATGTGAACACCAATAGTCAAAAACAACCAGTGAAAGGATATCTTCTACTCACAAATTCAAGGTCTCAACCATGAAGGAGAACTGAACGAACGGTAGCACAATGTACACGACCAGTGAAACATCTCATCTACAACAAAGGTGCGNNGCGTACGCTGCTCGAGCCTTGGAAATACGGACTGTTATCTCATCTGCAGCGCTACGGTCATTAGTCACGCAACTACCTAAGTAGGAGGAGCAATCCACTACAACTAATTCCTGGCCATTTATTTTCAGACCGGGAGTAAGCGACACCCAGTCTTAGAATATCATTTTGCACTTTGAAGGTGCAAAGCGCATGCCGAATGTGGCTACTGCACGTGTTAGTCCGTCAAGTGCGCTTTGTGCGTCCTCCTTGCATTCGAACAGACAGATGATGCCATCGGCATACTCTAAATCACACATCCTTTGTCCACCTGTTCATTCAATACGCACTTAGTGCGTTCCTCAGTATTTCGCCTACGACGGAATTGAACGGGAACGGCAAAAGAGGGCGCCCTTGACGAACGACCTACTTAGTTCGTTGTAAACCCTGAAAGACCGGAGGTATGTGAGTACAGTACAGTACAGTCAGTTAACTTACTTCTGGGGCATTCCTTTTCGAAGAACGGAACGCATTCAATGCTTCGCGGTCAACTGAGTCGAAGGCTCTTTTTTAGGTCAGGGAACACGACAAGTGCGTGCGTGTGCGTGCATTCACTTCGATTCGGCACAGACTGAGAAATGGAACTTTGGGAACAGATGTAGCTATTGAACACGGAACCAATGTACACTCTGAAACATTTAGGCCGTTCTTAATCAAATGATTTAATTTGCACGAGCATTACTTAGACAATGGCTGATCTGTCAGCTTGATCCACAACTGAGAAGACAACCCAAACCTGAATGAGGCTATATGTATATATAGATATATATATACCGCATGAATGGAAAATGGCCCAATTTGTTGCCAAGTGGCCGAGTGGATATCTTGCTTGCGTTCTGTCTGAGGTCTCGGGTTCGATCGATTCGCACTACTGATGAGACCCAACCAGGTCGAAACAGCTGTTCAATGCTTCCTAGCTTTTTAGCTCAGGCTTCATTTGCACTATAAACGACGAATTTCCCCTACAGATTGCACATATTTCGTATATATGAGAGGGAGGGCGGTGGTTACATCACCAAACTATCATTACGTGTTCGAATCCCTTCAGTACCGCCTGAACTGCCCCATTGTGTGTTCTTCGGCAGTCCCTAGATTGCTCTCTTTCCCCTTCCTGAAAATTGTACTATTTTATACTTAATAAAAGGAAGTAGAAATGCAAATACAGTAACGTTAATCAACATCCGATGGTAGATACAGACCCTGTCGTGATCGTGGTAAGGTGGCACAAGTCGTTCGCGATAGCGAACATTTAGCTATCCGGCCCGAGGTTCGAACCCTGTCATCACCACACAACTTTGGTGGTAAACAGCTTCGTTGGGAGTCTACTTCAATGCCGAGTTTACCCCGGTGCGATCATTTTTGGTTTCCAACTCTGAATCTGAGTACACATTTGGCCGAGACTCGCGAACAAACATGAAGCACGTTCTACTGAAGTTTATCTCTTCTCATCATCATTTAGTAATGGGGTTTGATAAATAACAATTGCTGGAGCTAGATACAAAGATCATAATGGGTTTGAATCGCCACAAATGTTGTCCACATGTGAGGATGATGATTGCTAGCAAGGGTAGAATAGTTAATTGTACAAAACACTCAGCAGACTATCCGCTGATAGTACGTGTGATAGGTTGACTTCGTATTACAAGGCCGTTTTGAATGCGAATCATTTTTCCGAGTATAATTGTAAAAATTCTAATAATAATGCCTTATAAAAGACAAACCTGCAAATGGCCACATATTGGCACTCATATCGGTAGTGGTCATTAGTTGTTCGTGAGGGATTAGAGCCGGAGCTTCCTGAAAAACAGAGATGGCAAATAGAACAATTATGGAATAGAATTTGAAGAACAGGAATTGATGCATGACACACCTTGTAGGCAAACTGCAAAACATTGCAGAATATGCTGCTTCTCTGCAGTATATTACAATTAGATTTCACACTCGTCTGAGGCCAGATTGTGTGCCAAGCAAATCATGGTATAATAATCTTTATAAAAAAGAAAAACGTTCCATGATTGGCTTGTGGAATGAATACTGCCAGGTTGCCCAGGTCAAGCCAGGTGGATTTTCTTCAGTACTCCACAACCGGTGTCCAGTCAATTATATCGTACGCCCTTTGGACGGGGTCAAACGTCTAAGGTCCCCAATACATCTCGATGCCCAGTCGAACCAATGACCGCTGCCACAACCAGGAAGGTGTGGGTGGGTGTGGTTCGCACGCCTCCTCATGGTTGGTTTACAATCAGGAGATGTGACATGCGCACATAAACTATGANCATGCGCACATAAACTATGAACATTCTACAAATTGCTTCTTTATATGTTGTAGCATATTTGCAAGTTCTGTCATTGATTACATGTTGAAATAAAAAATAATTATAAAATCTGTTACCCCCGCTCGTGGCCCTGGAACTTGGGCATATCAGTCAAACCGTGTGATGGATCAGCGTTGATATTACAGTATAACACGCTTAGACAGATAGCTAGTGCCGGAAAAGAAAATCACGGTGAGTATAAAGTCTGCCGATTTTGCCGATCACTCAATATTATATTCATTTTGTCTATCTAGCCCATTCGATTTAGCAGCC